TTATTTATCAGATCCTTCATTTCCTTAGCTAGGTTAATTTCAAAGTATTTGACTCTTTTGGAGGCAATTATAATTTTTTTCCTTGACTATTTTTGTTTTACTAAAATGCTACTTTAGTAGCACTTACAGACTTTTCTATTCTGATTTTGTAGCCTGCCACTTTGTTGTATTCATTCATTGTTTCTAGTAGCTTTTTGGTTTGATCTGTAAGACTTTCTGTGTATATTAATACATTATCTGTGAATTGTAGTAATTTCACATCTTTTTTTTTTTTTTAAGATTTATTTATTTGTGCGTACAGAACTGGGGTACAGGCCAGAGGCTCAGGGGTGGCGAGAGGCTTCACCAGAGACAGAGTCGGGAGCAGGACAGGTAGATCGACAAAGTACACTGCTGAGGGGAGCAGCGGGCGGGTCAGGAGAGGTCTGCCGCGCCATGTGGTCACCTCCGGGACAGGCGGGAATGAACTCATGCGGAGGAGGCCTCAGATTCTCAGTGCTGTGCTTTAACCCGCTGCGCCACCAGGGAGGGCCTTTTTTTCTTTTTTAAAGATTTATTTATTTATGCATACATAACTGGGGTACAGGCCAGAGATACGGAGGGTGACAGGATTCACCAGGGACAGAGTGGGGAGCAGAATAGGCAGATCCACGAAGCACACTGCTGAGGGGAGCAGCGGGCGGGTCAGGAGAGGTCTGCCACGCCATGTGGTCACCTCCGGGGCAGGCGGGGATCGAACTCATGCAGAAGTGGCTTAAGCTTCTTAGTGGTGTGCTTTAATCCGCTGCACCACCAGGGAGGGCCCACATCTTTTTTTGTTTGTTTGTTTAATGACTTGGATTCTCTTGATTCTCTTTATTGCTTGTTTTTTTTTTTTTTTTTTTTGTGCTAGCTCTGGTCAAAACCTCTAATAAGTGAAACTGAAGTGATGAGTTTTTAGTCTTGTTCCTAACGAGGGAAAAAGCTTTAAGCTTTTCACTTAAGTATTATATTTATTTTTGGATTATAGTTAATGAACTTTATTATATTACTCCCATCTTGTTTAGGGTTTTTACCATAAGTATGTTGTGAATCTTATCCAATTCTTTCTCTGCATCTATTAAAATTATGATGATTTTTTCTTTACTTATGTTGATATATGTTGCATTAATTGTTTTATGTATATAATACTGTTTTTATATAGCTGGAATAAACCCCATTCATCATTGTGTGCAATCCTTATAATATACTGTTTAACTCAGCCTACTGATATTTTATTGGATATTTCCGTGTCAGTATTCATCAGGAAAATCCATCTCTAATTTAAGTTTTTTTTCCTATTTTATTAATTTATGAGTCATTTACATAACTATATCATTTGGGGAATACATTTTCACACTGTCATAATACATATGCTTTACCCACTTGCCATCAAAATTCCCATGAAGATGTCCTATGGACTTCCTCCACTCCTCCCTATTTTTCTTTTGGCTAATAGTATAATACACAGACTCCAAGAGTTATTTTTTTTTCTTTGTTTTGCCAGTTTTCCTTTCTTTGGTTATTTACATTCTACATATAAATGAAAACACTGCAGTATTTGTCCTTCAATTTCTGACTATTATATATGATAGTATTCCAGTAAATATATTTACTATGATTTCTTTATTCAATCATCTCTCTTTGGATATTTAAGTTGATTGCACTTGGTTATTATGAATTAGGTGAATAAGGTTTCTGTGAACACAGGGGTGCATAAATCTTTTAATAATAGATTTTTTTCATATTCTTTTATTAATACATTTTTTAAAAGATTTATTTATTTATTTATGCAAACAGATTGTACAGGCCAGAGGTTCAGGGGTGGTGAGAGGACTCACCAGAGATAGAGCTGAGAACATAACAGGCAGATCAATGCAGTACACTTCTGAGGGAAATAGGGGGGGAGACAGGAGAGGTCTGCCACACCATGTTGGTCACCTCCGGACCAGGGATTGAAGTCGCACTGAAGCGGCTGCAGCTAGCTTGCAGTGCTGCGTCCTAACCTGATGTGCCACCAGAGAGGGCCAAATTTTTCATAGTCTTTGGGTAAATAGTTAGCTGTGGTATTGCTGGATCATGTGTAATTTTTCATTTTTAAATTTTTGTTAGCATATCTTTGTACTGTTAATAGAAACCATACCAATGACCTTCCCATTAATAGTGGGTAGGCAGTCCTTATCCTCAGCATCCTCACCAAATTGTTTTCTTTTACTTTTTTTATATACACGCCATTCTCACAGGGAAGAGATGCTATTTTGTTATAGTCTTGATTTATATTTCTTTTTGTAAGAAGTAATATTGAACATTCTTTAATGTGACTGTTGGCCATCTGGATATCTTCTTTGGAGAACTTCTTTTCAGGTTCTTGCCAATTTCCTGATTTTGTTATTTGTCTTTTAATTGGTAAATTTTATGAGTTCTTTTTATTTTGACAATTAACATTTTGTTGGGTGTGTGATATGCAAATATCTTCTAAATAGCCTTTTCATTTTGGAGCTATGACTTAAATTTTTAGTTAGCCATAGATTCATTTATTTTTGCTTTTCTTCCCCTTTTGTTGAAGTTGTATCTGTAAATATACTTCTAAAGTTAATGTCTAAGAGTGTATCACCTGTGTTTTCTTCTATGCATTTTATGGTTTAAAGGTTTATATCAAAGTTATTAATGTTGAATAAATTGTTTTGTTTGTAGTAGAGATCCTCCTCTCCCTCCCTCTGTCCTTCCTTCCCAATCTCTCCCTTCTTCCCCTTTCACTCCCTCCCTTCTTTTCTTCCCTCCTTCCTTCTTATTTTCTTGAAAATTGTTAATGGAATTTTGATGAGTACTTTCTTTTTGTGCTGTATTTATCTGCTTTTTATTAAAATAATGTTGGCATCATAATATAATTTAGGGAGTACTTCCTCTTCTTTCATTTGTGTAAGTAATTTGAACAAAGTGGGCATTAGTTTTTAACCTTCTGTGAAGGTTTGATAAAATTCTCTTGTAAGGCAATTTGGTCTTGGACTTTTGCTTTGGGGAAGAATATTTTTGTTGTTTCAATTTCCAAGATTGTGATTGTTTTATTAAATTCTTCCATTTTTCCAGGTTTTGTCTGGGAAAACTACATTGATTTAGAAATTTGCCCAGTTATTCAAGGTTATCAAATTTACTGGCTTATAATGTTCTTAGTAATTTTCTATGATCCTTTGTATTTTCTGTTATCTGTGGAAATATCTCCACAGATACAAATAAAAATCATATCTTTTTAAGGTGTACAATATATTATTATATATTGGTGAGATTTATTATAGTCTAATTATTTAACATGTCACTTCCTGTAGTTATTATTTATGAGTCTAAGTCTATGGGGAGGACACTTAAAATATATTCTCTTGCAGATTTAAAGGACAAATTACATTATAATTTTGCACTACTAGACATACATAAAGCCGTGTTTACAGAACTTATTTATCTTATAAATAAAAGTTTGCACTCTTTGACCAGTCTTCCCTTTTCCCCCAGTCATCATTCTCCAACAATCCCCATTCTATTTTTTTAATATTACAAGTGGATATTACAAGTGTTTGATTTCACATATAAGTGAGATCATGGAATATTTGTCATTCTCTGTCAGGCTTATTTAACTTAAAAATGTCCTCCAGATTCATCAATATTGTTGCAATTTTCCTACTTTTTTTTAAATCACATTTCTTGTAACTACTCTTTTATTATTATTTATTTATTCATACAGAACTGGGGTACAAGTCAGAGATGCAGGGGCAGTGAGAGACTTCACCAGAAACAGAGTGGGGAGCAGAACAGGCAGATGGATGAAGTGTACTGCTGAGGGGAGCAGCAGGCGGGTCAGGAGAGGTCTGAATCACCATGTGGATGGGGGAGAGGATCGAACTCAACACTGAAGGGGCTGTGGTCAGCTTGCAGTGCTGCATCCTAAACCTTTGAACCACCAGGGAGAGCCCTTTCCTACTTTTAAAAGACAGTTCATGTGGTGTATGTGTGTGTGTGTGTGTGTGTGTATCATATATATTATATATGGCTATCTACATACATATATGCCATGCATAGGTATGTGTGTGCATATATATATATATATATATATATATATACACTTTTTTATAATAAACATATGATGAAGAAAATGTGATATTAATGGGTATTTAGATTGTATTTATGATTTGGCTATTGTGAATAATGCCACAATGAATCGGCAAGTGTAGATATCTTCTACATATAGAAGATATATATACCTCTGGATATATACCCAGAACTAGCATCGTTGTATCATATGGAAGTCATAATTTTAGTTACTTTAGATAACTACATACTATTTTACTTATGACTGCATCAATTAGCATACTTAATAACAGTGTAAAAGGTTCCTTTTTCTTCATATCTTTACCAACACATATTATTTCTTTTTAAAAAGATTTATTTTTATTTCTTTATTCATCCAAGAACTGGGGTATAGGCCAGAAGTGTAGAAGGGTGAGAAGATTAAGCAGAGACAGACTAGGGAACAGAATAAATGTGTTGACTGAAATAACTGCTGAGGGGAGTAGCAGGAGAGACTGAAAAGGTCTGCTGTACCATATGGGACACTTACCTTGCTGGGGATCGAACTTATGCTTCCATGGCTGGGATAGCATGATAGCAATGAGACTTTAAATGCTGTGCCACCACAGAGGCTCTATTTTTTTTTTTTAATATTTATTTATTTATGCATACAGAACCAGGGTACAGGCCAGAGGTGCAGGGACGGTGAGAGGATTCACCAGAGACAGAGTGGGGAGCAGAACAGGCAGATCAACGAAGTACACTGCTGAGGGGAGCAGCGGGCGGGTCAGGAGAGGTCTGCCGCGCCATGTGGTCCCCTCCCGGGGCAGGCGGGGATTGAACTCATGCGGAAGTGGCTTTAGCTTCTCAGTGCAGTGCTTTAACCCGCTGTGCCACCAGGGAGGGCCAAGGCTCTATTTTTTTTAATACCCATTTTAATCAGTGTGAGATGATATCTCATGTTTTTGATTGCATTTCTCTGATGGTTAGTGATACTGAACATATTTTCATGTACCTGCTGGCTATCTATATGTTTGCTTTGGAAAATGTTCTGTTCACCTTATATGTGTAAGTCTCTCATCATTATATTCTCCTTAAGAAAGTGGACTTGTTCTGCATTTTCCTAACAGCTCGTGGTGAGGTGACAGGTTTCCCCTGCCCCACCAGATAAACATTCATCTAACAAATTTGTTTAACAAGCTTATATTCTTGCAGTCTGAGGAAAAGGAGGGGCATTCCTAAGAAGATGGTAAATAAGTTAAACAGGTGTTAATAAAGCAAGCTGGCACCTGCCTGAAATAAGTCTGCATCAAAAAGACATGCCAAACATTTCTATCTCCTCTTTGCAAGCCCTTGCCCATCTTGCCTCCCCCTTTGTATTTGTTTGTATAACTACCCCTGCCCTCTGCCAAAGAGCAGGATGGTGGTCTTTCAGACACAAGTCTGCCACCTTCCTCAGTTTGTAAATAAATTAGACTGCTTTTCTACTCCTTTTCAAATTCTGTTTACTTTTACTGGCTGAGGGGAACTGAGGCTGTTTCCAGTATCACTAGGTATCTTTCTATTATTATATCTCTTGATCTACATTTCCTAATGAACTCAGAGTCCAAGTCCCTCTATACTTTACCTTTCTAGATTAAAGCTCTTGTGAATGGTTAACAACATCCCTTTCCCACCTCATCTTCCTACTTATTAATGTTCTCTGTTTCTTCAAAGAATTCTTGATTGCTCCAGTACTTAAGTAACACTTCTGTATTAGCATTCATTCTACATAACCAGTTCATATTTTAATGCCCTACTTTCCTTACCCTAAATCTCAGAATTAAGATTATCAATGACTCTTTTGTTTATTTTTTTGTTCATTTATATAGGAACAATTAAATCTTATTTCAATATTTCTTCTTAATGGTTAAACTAACCAATAAACTAAACTTTATTCTAAAGTTTCTATTTATAAACTATTTTCACACTAAAATCCTATCATTAATTTTTATTTCTCATCCCTTCACCATTTATATTAGCCTTTGATTCATTTCTTTCTACTCTTTCTACCACATGAAACTCACCTCATATGAGACACTTGTATTTCCAAGTTTTTTTTTCACCATTATTTCTGTTATGTAGTTTATTCTTGTTTGTCTTTCCAATTTAGATATAGTCTGAATATTATTTGTCATTAATAAACAATTCTCTATGCCAGCTATAGGAATATAAATGTTCTGCTTTCTCATTTTTAACATACTGTGTTATCTTATTGTCAATCATTTCTTCTACTTCCATAGTGATATGTGCACAACTGGAACTTCAAGAACACTCATAGGTCAATTAAAATTTGAGGGTTTGGATCCATTTGTTGGCTCAGATAGCCCCACAGAAGCTCTTAATCTTTAGTATGAGATTTGGTTATTTTTATTATTTTTAAAATTTTATGCTTAAAAAGGATGTTTAAAGATATTTAAAAAGTCCATGATAAAAACAAAACAAGATACCTGACAGTGAAGTCAAGGAAGAGCACTATTAAGAAACATTGTTTAGACATAATGAGGTTTATTGGGGATATAATCTTGTCATTTTAAGAAGATAAATTAAGGAATTAACAACATAAACAGAAGCAATCTGTTAAAGTCAACATTAATCAAAACCAAAACTACCTTTCTTTTTGATATCCAGCTACAAAGGAGTAAAGTGGAGAACAAAAACAATACTTAGCTGTTAACTTACAAGGTACAAAAATATGGTCATTAATATATTATTGATTAAATGTTAATCTTCACGAACTAGAACCACCATTACAACATAGTAGATTGTAATAATTAATCTCAGCTTTTTCTCTGAAGCTATTTGAAAGCTTGTCAGCAGTTAGGAAAACAAAACCAAAACAAGTTCATATAAATCAACCCTTGATAAAACATACAAGGAACACTCACTATTATCTGATATATCATACTATATATCTATATATATCATACTCTGATATATCATACTAAGTTACTACGGTGAATTTTATTTTGAGCTAGCATTTTTGAAATAACAAATTTACCATTCTGGCAAAAAAAAAAACACATTAAGCCTTTGAAACTATGTACAAGACGCAGTCGAGTCTCTCTAAATCACATAGGAAAGTGTTTTACTTATTCCTACATAGTTTAATTATTTTCAAATATTTATTTATGCATATAAGAACTGTGGTACAGGCCACACATGTAGGGGTGTGTGTGAGAATATTCACTGGGGGCGCACAATAGGAAAAATAACTGAAATGCACTGCTGAGTCCTCACCCTGTGGGTCAATTACCTGGCCAGGGAATTACCTGGCAACAGTTGCTGTGGATAGCTTCATAGCGCTGTGTTTCAACCCATCATGCCACCAGGGATGACCAAGGAAAGTGTTTTAACCGACTGATTTATTTCCTTGCATAATGCAATTTTTATTATACTTGCATTGTTGGTTTTAATATTGTGAGTAAATTAGAACATGTACATGTTGCATCGGGCAACACCACACTGACAAAGAAACGGGAGTCGTGGAGCATGCTACACAATACAGGATGCTGCCGAAGAGCAAGATCCTGGCCTTTTTATTGGTAGACTAATCATACCATTAATCATGTGAGGAAGTGAAAAAGAAAGGGAGAATTAGAAGAAGCTGGGCAAAAGGTGGAACTGTGCATCTGCTGATAGTTTGGTAGAACAGCCTTGATTCTCCAGTCAGGATTTCAATCTTAACAATAAGGCATGTCATTGATCAGCTTCTGGAGTCCTTCATTATATATCAGTCAATGCCCCCCAGGGCGTTTCTGGTCACACCTCGTGTTGTCTATCCTTCCCAGGGTGATCTAGCTTTATGCTCTTAATTGATGTGAAAGGTGCCTCATAGGGTTGGGCTCTTAAAATGGAGGCTGTGTAAACCACCGAGGATTATCAGACCCACATGTACATTATATAATTAACATTTGCTTCAGAAAGTAATCTATCTCAAGAAATTGCAGTTACAATACCATTTTATTGATATGAAGTAATGGTTAATCACTAGGGTTTCATGTAATAATCACTATGATAATTTGTGAAAACTAGTCACAATTATGTCCCAATTAGCCTAGTAAAGTCTCTCAGAGTGGAGCTTCATGTACATATTTAAAAAAAAATGCTCTCTAACCATTTAACAAAGGTTGTAACTTAATAACTAAAGATTACAGTGAATTGAAATGATCCCCAAATAGTGTATCTTTTTGTTTTGCATATATTCTTTAAAGATATAAGGCAGAATATGCTAAAATAATTTAACAGGTGAGTAATTAGAACTTTTGATAACTGGGGTTAAGTAATGAAATACAAGTCAATAGTCTCTACCCTAGATTTGATTTTTTTTTTAATTTGACAGACTTTGGTATTAAAGTATTTGCTTAGGTATATTTTAACTTTTAGGGACTGATCACTTAATACATTAATGATACAGTTTAATTGATCCTTTCTTCATGGAACAGGTAAGGGCAGCTCCCACAGAATGTTTGTTACAGAGTATTGACTGGTAGGATAGCCAGTGTCAAGACTATAGATGATTGTGTGACTGGAGAAAAATGTATCATTGTTTTGTATTTCTCATCCTGGCAAAAGTGAATGTACTCTTTAGGAAGTGCTAATATTTTAAAGCTGATTTTATCTAGAATTACATTGGAATAGAATTACAATTTAAAGTGAAATGAAGAACCATGGAAAAAAAATACTTAACATGGTAGATTTTCTGGTATTAAAATTTTTCCTTTGAAGCAGAAATATAAATGATAGTATATTCTTGAAAAGACAATATATTGCATGTCTGTCAAAGCTAATATTCTCACAGAGAGTCAAACTTAAATACCACTATTTCTGCTCAACAGACCAAGTGAAAAAGAATTAGAATTGACTTGCACTTATATTCCAATCAAAAGTGACTATACATTATTATCAAAATCAATGTTTTACTTTATATCTAACATTTTATGTAAATTGAAGAGGACAAACATAACTAGATTCTTTGACTTGGATTTTGTGAATTTTTTTTTCATCTTAAAAGGATTTTTGTAAATATGAAATTTACTTTGTAAAATTTAAGACAAAACTTTATTAACATACTTTCAGAGCTATAATCCAGAGGAAATCTGACCAAAACTATTCTATATCCATTCAATTGTTTTATTTTTGAAAACAGTATATCTTATTGTATCAGTTGTGATTTTAAACTGAAGTTTGACATCCAAGTGATCTAAAAAGTTAAAGCATCTTAAAGTAATTGCATACCTTTATTAACATATAAATATATTAAACTTATTACATATATTTATTAACTTGAAATAAGTGAATAATTTAAAATTTGAAATAAGGAATGGAGGGGAAACTATTAAAATGTTTTTTTGAGGTGTGACTAAAACACTTATGTGTGTTTTAGTCATCTTCATCAGATCTTCAAAATATCGTTAAACTGACTTGTACCACATAAAGAAAAATAGTCAGAAATCACATAGGTCATGCAGAGAGCATATTCTTTTCCCCTGTATGAGGAAGGCTGCACTATATCTAAACCTTGTGCTAAATTCATGAGGGAGGGAAAAGGGAAACCAAAACCAAAAGTACAGTTAGCATTTTTCTCCTGACTTCCTAAGATTTGAGCCATGGCTTAAAAAAAGAAAATCTGAAGAAGAAATAACCATCATCAACTGCATAGCTGTCTAGAGAGTGTGTATTTAAATTACGATGAGGATATTGGTGCCGGACATATTTCTGAGTCAACCTTTCAATATCATTAGGGGTGTGTCCAGCACAAATTGTACCTCTCTCCTATTCCTTCAGTGCTCTGGTTTTACCCAGTAGCCTGCAATTCTTTGAAAATAGTTGAAAAGATGCAGAGCTTTTCCTTTCTGAAAGAAAGGGATAAGTAGGTAAATTCCTACTTGTCTTTCAAAACACCAACTAAACACTAAAAAAATTACAAAATGCTCCCTAATTCCCCATCTCTCTTTAATGGATGGGCTGTTTCACAACCCCTATCTCTAAATATTTTCTCCTCACTATATATTTTAACTTCTGTCTCTTGTGGTTATCAGACAATAAACGTCTAAAGGATAGAGAAGTGTCTATCTCTTCTTATTTCTTTGTCTCTTATCTCAGCATCCAAGACAACTCTTAGCCACAACTGCTTACATTATATCAGGCACTTGTTCAGTCAACCAATAAATGTGTTTTGAGTGAATGCATGTGTGAACATACAAATCATGCATGGGGTGGTTAGAAAAGTCAATATAATTCATAATCATTTAACTGGGTCTTAATATTTGTATAGAAAATTTCCAGTGAGAGAACTGGAAAGGACCTCACACAGAGCAATACTATAGGCTAAATATGAGCAGTGGAAGAGAGGAGTTAGCTGAGACCATTTTGATAATGTAACTAAGGGTTGAATTACCAGGTGTAGGAAATTGCAAAGCCTTAAGGATTTGCTGAAGATCATGTTTAAGAAACTCTGGAGTAGAGCCATATTGTGGTGAATAATATTTGTGAACTTTACTTTAGGCCTCTGTAGGAATAATAGGAGTAAAGAAGACTAAAGTGGGGTGTGGGGAGCCCAGATGGAACCACATAGGAAGTTCTTTGAGACTAGATGGGAACCTGGGAAAAGACATTGGCGGGACTGAGGTAGATGTGGTTTTCATGGATCTACACCATCAGCTCCATTCAGCCTCTTCTAGTTCCTGAAAGCCTTGCCCAGAAGCTGAAATGTACACATTTATTTACTCAACTAATATAAAGACTAATATAAAGACTTACTATATTCAAGACACTCTTAAGATCTATAACACTGGGGTTACTGATCTGGAGAATACATACTGAGTAAAAATGAAGTCCCCATCTCATGCCAATATCCTAGCAGAAAAATAGAAAGCAAGAAAACACCTCCTCACACCCCCATCACCAAAAAAAAAAAAAAAAAAGAAGAAGAAGAAGAAGAAAATGAACAAAAAACATGCACAAGTGATTTAAAATGGACACTATACCTAAGGAATATTCCCAAATTAGGCACTGCCCTCCCCCCCCCCGCAAATGCAACTATTTCTAATTAGCAATAAGGAACATTTGTCCTCCTGAAGAATGAGATATTCAGAGGTAGGGATTAGAAGAAGCAATTTTGAAGAAGTCATTTCTGGAAGAACTGTATCATAATTTCTTTCTTGCCAGTGGGGAGGACCAGTAAATTATCCCTCTCATGATGAGATCATTTTCAAAGCTACTTTCAGTTTTTCTTGCATTCTTGATGGTAGAGCAGACTGGTGTCACCCATCTAGAAGATCTAGGTGACAAGAAAGCTGACAAACTTTTTTTTTAAGGTTTATTTATTTAAGCACACAAGAACTGCAGTATAGAACAGAGGTGTGGGAGGTAAGACGATTCACCAGAGACAGAGTGGGGAGCAGAATAGCAGACTGAAATACACTACTGTGGGGAGCTGTGGGTGAGACAGGAGAGGTCTGCCATGCCATGTTGCAGACAAATCTGGCTGGGGATCAGATTTGTGCTGTGTGGCTATAGATAGCTTAACCCCTTGTGCCACCAAGAGGGGCCCTGACTAACTTCTTGATGCAAGAAGAAAAGAAAGGGTGTGGAGTTATTACCTGACATTATTAGAACTAAGGTGTGAAGGTATTGAAAGACTTTGAGCATAGGGATAACAGACTTTGATTTACTTATTTAGCGGATCACTGGTGGCAGTAGGAGAGTGACTTCCAGTAGTCCAGGCAAGAGATTAAGGTGGCTTGGTTTATTGTAGTAGTAACAGAGTGGGCAGATTCTTGGCATATTTGAAAAATATTAATTAAAAGAATTATGGATGGATTAGAGGTTGTATGTGGAAGAGTAAGGAGCTAAGGACTCCAGAAATTTACATGGAATGTTATAGCATCATCTGAGAGGAAACAAGTAATCTGGAGGATGTTTGGTTTCCTGGGAGATTGAAAGGGTATCAGTTATTGAGTTTGGGCTTAAAGTCTATTTATATTTTAAATGTATACTAAATATTAAGTTTCAAATATGGAGTGAGCCATATAGAAATAGTGCTCAGGGACTTACAGGAAGTAGAATTATATAGTCACTTGTTTTCAGAATATTATGCTTAACCATGACATTAAATGAGATAATTTAGAGATATAGTGGGTGAATATAGATATAAAGTTAAAAATACAAAAGGAGGAATCTAAGAACTGCAGATGTTACCGATAAGGAAAATGAGTCTTAAAAGAGACTTAGAAGAGGGACTTGGCACAATCTGGTGGCACAGCACTATAGCACAGCACTATGGAGCAATCCAAAGCCACTACAGCATAAGTTTGATCCCTGGCCAGGGAGGTGACCTACATGGCCCAGAAGACCACTCCTGTGTCACCTGCTGCTCCCCTCAGCAACATATTTTAAATCTGTCTGCTCTTCTCCCTGCACTTTCTTCGGTGCATCCTCTCACCCCTCTGGCCTATCCCCCAGTTCTTGTATACATAAATAAATCAATCTTTAAAAAATTAGAAACTTAGAAGAGTGGTCAATATGAGCAATATGTGATGGAGATGGAAAGCTGAAAGCTGACTGCCTCCACTTAGGACTCTCCACCATAACCTCTCTTGATAGACTTTAGTGGCTACAACAGCTAAACTCTTCTCCCAGATTTCTAACAACCCCAGAGATACACTGATCTTTCTGGAAGATCTTCTATGATCTTCTCTCTCAACAATCTTTCGCTCCATCCTTTAGAACTTCACAACTCAGTGACCAAAATGTTTCCATATCTTTAATGTTTTCTCCAAATGTCTCACTACTCTTTCTCTTGTACTTGAATCTCACTCTTCTTCTTCAACATCACAGTTATTAAATCCCCACAAGGTGAAGTTCAGTTCAGATGAGGAAGTAGCATCAACGTCCTCCTGGTTTCATACTGCTGTTTCCAATATTTAGTGTTATTTCAAGTCTAATAGTTTTCTTTATTTTTCACTGTGTATTTCTCTGCCTAAATTAATACTATGATACTTAAAATTAGTGTTTTTCAAAATATAGCATTTTTTCTAAAGTGTATGCTGCAAAACAGGAATTTTGGACATAGCAGCAATGACTTTAAAAGATGGACATTGACTTATTTACAAAGTATTTTTTCTTTGCTACTGTTGAATTCTAGAATCATATGTGGATATAATCTTTCCTTATTTCAGGGCCGTTTTAACTGGGGCTCTGGCTTATCCACAGGATTCTGTAGGGTCTCCCACCATTGGACAGATTAAATTTACACTGACACAGTTTATATTGGCAATGGTCACATATAATTCTATGATATTTGAGGAAGAATTGAGTCCTAAAAGTTTAGTAATCCAAATTGTTTTATATTTTAATTATTTTATTATTACTCTGTATGGAAAGGATTTGAAGCTGACCTATCAGAAACTGTTATCTGAAAGATTGTATATTACAAATAATTGCGTTATATATTTTTCAATGACCAAATGATGTGAATTATAATGTAGTATTGACTATAACTTAGTTTTTAATTTTGAACTTTGAAGCTTTATCCAGTAATGAAATATGGGTAAAATTCTGACACTCTACTAACCATGAAATAAATGGTTAACAGGAAAGGAATGAGGAGTATAATTTGGAAATATGTCACCTCTGGAGTTTCATTCACCAGCTATTTCATACAACTATCATAACGACTTTTTCTTCATAGCTTTTCCCATCATATCATCTTCCAAATGTTGAAAGCTTACCTACTGTTAATTTATTGCTTATGCTTCCCGTGAAGATAAAAGCAATTTATTCTCAATGCAATGCTAATATATACAGGCTTTCAAACAGCAACAAACTTCCTCAGTGAAAAATAGACTCCTGTGTTCCTCTTCAATTATTGTAAGCTAGTTTATTCATGGTTGACAGGCCTCCTGTAATCTGAATATGGATTAAATCTAGAAATGAAAAACAAAACTGTAGTTATGGGCTTGAAGAAAACAATATTCATTTATGGAAAACTTTGGTCAAAGCTATTTCTTGTTTTCTCTGAGATGTAAATCCTCAAATGGCAATCAACCATGTCTGGTATTGATTTATGGGTTCAATTGAGAGAGCGTTCCTACATAGAACATTTTGAGAATTATGGAATTTTAGAGTTGGCAAGAAACTTTTGGAGCAAACATACCTTACTTTTACAATGTGTACATTTGGAAAGTGAATTTGAGAGTCCAAAGTCTATTAAAAACAAGTCCCATATTATTCTGTTCTCTCATCATGAATATATATACTTGTAGTGTTTAAGCATTCTGTTTGCAGTGACCTTTATTAGAATTTGAGTGAATTTTCATTATAACCTCATTCTGTTTCCCACTGAAAATTTGTGTTACATGTAGCAGGATTTTTCTGTTACTTTATTCAACCTTAACTTCCCCAGCTACCCTGATATGGTCTCTCCATCAGCCTAGTCCCAGATTACTGTCTCAATCAACACTCCACAGTTTGGGATGTTCTCGTGTAAGGCAGAGCCCAAGGCACACCAAATTCTGGTCTCTGGGGTTTTCCTTATGAATTACCATCTTCAGAAAAATCTTCTTTAAATTAATCTGATGCTTCATGGCAAGGACTAGCCCAGGAAGCACATGGTTCTACTTGGCAGTGGTCCACATCAGACATTCCTCATGAATAGTCCTTTCTCTCACTATAGCCTGTTAATGTCCTGCTTGTATCTAGGTCCTTAACAAACCAGCTATGTAGAGTCTTTTGTTTGGACAGATCTCAGCTTTCTGATGTTTATATAAAATTAATTTCATGTATTTGGAAATTATTGGGGCTGAGGGAAAGGTAGATCATCTTGTAACAATATAGGCCTGCACTCAAAGGATACCGTTCTTCTGCATATGAACAGTGTCTCGCTGGTAACCAACCCACACTTCATGGCCAAAATAGGGATACACTGAAATGTTCACTTCTACTTTGATTTAAGTCCTTCCTGGTTGATTTTTGTCTATGCCTGCTTCGAAATCCTGTGGTGCAAGTTCTATACAATTTATGTCTTACCTTTTGTTTCATGTAATGAGATAGTTTAATTTTTGCTCTTTATCATAGTTTTTTTCCTTTGCTGAGTCCTTGTTGCTCTCTCGTCACCAATATGTGAGCTCTGAAAGTGACAGACTGTTCTGAAATGCCCTATATTTCTTTTCCATTTTAAAAGTTTTACTAAGTTGTGTGCAATGCCCCATTTGGGAAGTTTTATGGAAATTCTATCAGGAGGTGCCACTTGACCTGATGTACACTATGATAATGTCATGTAATTGTGATGAAGAAAACAGGAGGTCAGTTATTTATCGCCTAGATTTTGCATTCAACTAATGTTCCTTAGCAAATAATGTGGCTTGGTGAAGGGTATAGAAATATTCAGAACTTGGAAGAAAAATGGCAAATATTGTATACTGGAAAAGGGAGCTATTTAGTTTTTACCTTTTTGTATGTTTCTGTAACTTTTATTCTCAAGCCTATTCACTTTGTGGCATTGAGAAAAATCACCTTTCTTCAAAGTGAGGTTACTGATATCTGATTTCAGGGTGACTGAGGATTACACATAATGAGGCTGAGGAAACTGCCTAGTTTTATATGCTGAAAAACTTTTACAGGGGTTTGGAATAAGAATTTTTGCCCCAAGGTCTACCATAGTTTACTGAGCATTCGGTGTCCATGAGAAGGGAGTGTTTTATTGTACATTATAGACTTTTTTCCCTCTCTACTCTGGACTTAACTATAGGAAGGGGAGGTCAGCTATAGATGGGTTGATTGTTGATATTCCTCAACCAGATATTGACCAATCTGGTGATGAAGCTACTGGTTGTGCTCACTCTGCTGACCTGAGGCTGGCCTATAATTCTCTACCATGACACCTGGATGTTAAGCGACATTGGACTCCAGTCCTGAGGATATCTGAAAACAAGCTTGGGAATAATGATCCTATGATTAATTTAAAGGTAGAAAGCAGGAGGCTCTGCTTTGTCTTCAGCTCTAAACTGAGTTCTCTATTTCATTTCTATTAAAGATCACCACATGGGAATCATAGGAAACAGTTACATAGTGGTAACTACTTCCAGATCGGTGGTCCTTGATCCTTATGCATATTGTGTGAGGGAAAGGATGGTAGGTGTTAATTCTTGGGCCAATAATCCCAAGCCCCTATGTACACTTCCTCAGCCTATTCTACCCCCTGTACCCCCATTAAATGCCCTGGACATCTATCATTGATCAGGAAGGTGCTAGATGAATTTTATAGATGATACTAAATTCTCAACCGCCTTGAAATAATGTATTGTGGATCCTGTCTTATAGAGAGGTGAGTTCTCTTCCCAATTACACGGAATGAGTAAGGGGTGGAGAAAGGATGAACATAGTCCTGTCTTTCTATGGTGTCATAGTGGACACCTGAGAGAATAATCTGAAAGTTAACCAACACTGGTGCTGCATCCCAAAAATTTCCTTTTCCTGGAGTGAAATTTGAAAGCCTCTTGGATATGGGAGAACATCACAGAACACACCACATGCAGTGTGCTCATGACATTTATGCTTCATTAAGCAAAAGATGGGTAGAGAGAAATACCAGTCTACTCATGTGGGAGGCTGCCTTACAAACCAGGGTGTAAGCAGGGGAGGGAAATGAAGAGAGGAAATGAAGAGACATCATTGGCTGAGAAAGAGCTGGGGAGCCACCCAGGGGGTCTGATTGTCAGTGAAAGGCAGAAGGGCAGGGTGCCAGGTTGTTCCCTCCCCCACCCCTTAAGACTGATTTGACCTATAACTCTCTGACTATGTACATGAATTCTACAGAGGCTTGAGTTTGGGAACCCATAGAGGAAGTCAGGAGTGCTACAGGCAGGCATCAGACCTCTGCTCACACTCCTACCAGCAGGTGAATGCCTCCAGGGTCCTCCCCTGCCCTGTGACTCAACAGTTTCAAATTATGTTTTCACATTACAGAATCTCAGAAAAATCAAATACCTAAAATCATATAGCTGGGAAAAGATTAAAACCTCATAATACTGGAAAAGAACCACCTGCTGGAAACATAAAGTTACTGCAAACCTCTGAAGTTAACTGCTACAGCTTTAAAAAACTACCATTAGGCCCTCCCTGGTGGTGCAGCAGGTTAAAGCACAGCACTGAGAAGCTAAAGCCACTTCCACATGAGTTCAATTCCCACCTGCCCCGGAGGAGACCACATGGCGTGGCAGACCTCTCCTGACCCGCCCGCTGCTCCCCTCAGCAGTGTACTTCGTGATCTGCCTGTTCTGCTCCTCACTCTGTCTCTGGTGAAGCCTCTCACTGCCCCTGAGCCTCTGGCCTATACCCCAGTTCTGTATGTACAAATAAATAAATCTAAAAAACAAAAAACAAACAAAAAAACCTGCCATTAAAAGCAACAAAATGGGCAATGGGTCAGAAGGAAAAAGAAAACATGTTGGATGTTTTCACTTATAGGAGGAATATAGGGAAACCAAATAAGACTGATTCCCCAAATCAGTGGGAAAATAACAATGATATAAAACACAACAAAACAAAGCAAAACCAAAAAGACAATTATAAACCAGAGGCATCCTATAGGGGTAGAGGAGGGAGAGAGATAGGAGGGAGGGAGGGAGGAGCACATGGTACTGTAGTGATGGTGCAGGGCGAATTGGGGGAGGGAATTCTATGGGATCTGCACCTAAGGGGGGAAGTAAATATTGTTTAAAAGTGAACATTGAAAAAAAAAAAGTGAACATTGATATAATATCTCTATGTCTATCTATCTATCTTTCTGTCTATCATCTATCTATAGATACACACGCGTACATTTAAAAAAATGGGCAAAAAGAAAAATACAATTGTGGTACCCTGATACTTAAAGGGAATATGCCATCCCAAGAACAGAACAACCTTTCTGAGTCCAACTACCATAGACATGAAATATTTTATTTTCCTGTTAGATGCAGCATTCAAAATCATGATGACAAATAAATTCATAAACTTGAAGAAATGGAAGAAAACACAGAAAAACAATTTAATGATTTAAGAAATATGACTAATGAAGAGAAAGCCAACAAATTAAAGTTAAATTAAGAAAATAAAAGAGATGTGTGTGGGGGGCCTTGACCAGCAAGGCGAGGGGGTAGAGCCCCAGGGACAGCGCGAGGAAGAAGGCAAAGACGGAGACACGTGCGAGAGAGACTTTATTTTTACAACAGTAATATATATATACCTGATGGCGGCACAGAAGGTACGGGCGGGGGGTGGTTTGGTGGTCTAATGTCTTAAAGGCCAATGGGTTTGAGGGGAGGGATCCATCGTCATCTCTTTTTCTCTTTGGTGCCAAAGCTTGCTGAGCTGGAAGGGAAAGAGAGTGGGGGAAGGGATTCGGGTGTGCTGCATTCTCAACCGGGATGTTTACCCTAAGTTC